TTAGGCACGCTATTTGAGCTCCAGGGAAACTTCTAGACTAGGAAGAAGGGCTGTCCCTGAGATAATGGACAGCAATTGTCGCTCCCGGGGATGGCTGGACGTCGGTAGGCTGCTGCAGGAATTTCGGCAAAAGCAAATTGAGATGTTTGGGCAGCAGTTTTCCCTGGAGCTTTGAAGGATTTGGGAAGGAAAAATCAGCCAACAGCTGCGGGAATTTCGGCAGCAAGGAGGGGAAGTGTTTGAATTAATTTTTAGCTTAGGAGTAGTGATTTGGAGGAATTAAAGGGGTGGGGGAAGATTTGAATCAAAAGCTCACCATTTTAATTTCAGTTTTTGATTAAATTGGGAGGGAAAAGACTTGAATTTTGAATTTCAAGTCATAGGCATTAATGCCTTGAATGGGGGGAGTTAATGGGGGGGAGCCATGAGAGGGGCCGGCGGTTTCATGAAGGAGGAAAAGGGTTTTATTTCATAACCTGAAATTAATTTCAGGTTTTGTATGAAATTAGGGGAAATTTTATTTTGAAATTTGAATTCAAATGGGTGGCCATAAATGCTTTAACTGGAGAATTATTGAAGCATTCAAAGAGGGGAGAAACCCTCATGGGGCCGGCGGTTTCAAGAGAGGGAGAGGAGGTGTGGGAGCAATTTATGAGCCTTCCAAATTAGCACGTATGCATTAGGAAGCTAGATTATGAGATCCTTTTCAATTTGAATTTCAAATTGTTTTGAATTTGAAAACTTTCCTAATTTGGCTTTGACAAATTAGGAAATTTTGGAACTCAATCAATTTTGAATTTTCAAAATTTGATTAAGTGGGGAATGGGGAAGGTGGCCGGCGGTTGGGGTTGTGGAGGAGGTGGTGCCGGAAGGTGGCCGGCGACCAAGAGGAAGGCCGGCGGGTTGGCTCCCTTGGATTTATTGCGGGATGAAGTTGGGACTCGGATTTCGAATAAGCGGAGTGAAAATTGGGTGTTGGATGTGGATGAAGAAAGCACAAATAAGATAAAAAGAACTTAACCACGAGTCGCGGACTCTTCCAACGACTGGTGGGCCTTGCAATTTGCTCCCCTTGAGCTCTCTCCCTTCTCTAGCTCTCATGCAAGAAGAAGTAGAAACAAAACACAATTTTCATTCAAATATCTATTCATTAACCTCTCATGAAAAGGAGAAGGCCTTAAATAGCCAAAGGAATAAAGAGAAATACAAAGACCAAATTGCCCCTAAGGCTAACACATGACGAGGCCCTTAAGTAAGGGCATACATGGAAAGAAATACAATATACTCATAAAACAAAATACATCAAAAGTAGATCATGGCTGTAGATCATGCATGTCTCCTCTCGCTAGAACTCATGTAGATGTCCTCATCAAGAGCTTCATAAAGTGATGAATATATGATATATATAAGCAAGAATCTAGTCTGTTGGTATATATCTTAGTATAGTCAAACATATCAAAGTTATATGGAGTAGAAGATCCTACTTGCTAGGGCATATCCTAATATGGCCCGATAAGTCGCAACTTAAAGTTATTTAATTAGCTAGGGCATATATTAGAATGGATTGAACAGAAAAATGCGAATAAAGAATCCTATTGGATAGGGAATATCCTAATATGTCCAATAGGTCACAAGTAAAATGATTTGGTTGGTTAGGGCATATCCTAATATGATCCAACAGATCAAAGATATAACGATTAGTGGACTGTATCAGTTAGGGCATTTCCTAATATGACCCAATAGGTCACAGCTATAGGGATCTAGTTAGCCAGGGCATATCCTAGTATGGTTGATTGATCAAAATGATCACCTTTGGAGGACAAAACTCATACATCAAACAGATCAAATCATAAGTTAGAGTACAAATCATCATATCCTTAGGTTGGTCCTTCAGTATCCTGATAAAGTGACTAGAAATATAGTAGATATATGATTAACTCGACCTTATGATATTGAGTTGGAGGGGATGTTTGATGGGGAATCCAATCACTATTAAGTAACTACTCCATATTTATATGATGGAATTAACTTTTTAAAGATTTTCTTTAAGAGTGATAATTAAAATAGCATACTTTTCACTTTCAATGTTTCAATTTGGTTGAGACGTGTTTTCAATTTAAAGCCAATTTATTTTTTCAATTTTGAATAGATTTGGTAGTTTTCGGGTTTTAATGAAATTTCGGAGTAAATTTTTCAGTTTTACTTGAAGGTTATGTATTTTTAGGAATATTGAGCTCAAACTCTCGAGCAATTATTTAAGTTTCATTAGAATTCTAATTACTTAAAAAGATGTTGTTATCTCAATAAAAAATCATTAAATGAACATTCTAATTAATCTTTAAGAGCATAACAAAATTGTTAATGTGATATTTGCTGGGTTTATAACATGACCTTGTATGGTCAAACAATGTTTTTAATATGGAGCTTGGATTTGGAAGCAACTCCATAAAGTTGGATTAGTTTCTGATTTGGCTTGGTTTGATTGAATCAATGTTTGAACATGTGCATTGGCTCGACCGTTTACATGCCGTACTTCAAAAGTCTAATGAAGTTCATGCATGCCTAAATTTCTTGAATTGTTGGTCAAATTAGGTCAACTCGTCCCCAACTAACCTAGACTTTCACGATCCATATTGGTCTTATTTCTTCCAACCATTGACAAGAACCTTACGATTTGCCTCAAATGTGAATACGACATTCCAAATTATAGTTTGCTTTAGAATGCTTATCATGGGGAGGAAGAATTTTGTGTAAGATAATTATTTTAATCGGATTGAATTATGGAGGTGCCACCTTTTAGAAGTTTCCTCGTAATTTGGTGAATAAAAATTTGTGGTATCTGCAAATGCAATTCCTCTTCATTCCCCTCCACTCATTTTATCCTTAGGTTATCTCTATTTTGCAATCAGAGTCATCATTTTGTTCACAATCGACCATCCTCTCCCTTGCCAAATCAACCTTATTAGACATCTTGTCCAATTTGTTACACTCGACCATCCTCTCCCTTGCCAAATCAAATTGTGAATGGTTGAATTTTCACTTGGTCTTCTTGCTTGATTGGCATTCTCATATTTTTTAATCTTAATGCATTTTTTACCTTTCTACATGTTTGGCCTATCTGCATGGCTAAGTACCTTTTCTAATGCCTAGTTATTCTCATTTGCCAACATCAAACTAGCCTCTCATTGCGATTATCACTTACTGTTGTTGTGACCTACTGTCTATCTTGGTTGCTTCTCATTGCAATTTCAGTGGCTTCACGGCTGTATTTCCTATAGCGTTGCTTCAGCAACATGGACTTTGTAATGTCTGTGTGCGGTAGTTTTTATTTTGATATTATTTTGCGTACTCAAAATTAAGAATTTAAATTAAATCTATGAGAGGTGGTTGATTGGAAATTTCAGGCTCATAAATACCAACACTAGTTTAAGCTAAACAATTTAGGATTAGCGTATTCTATTTAGAAAGTCATGTTCCTGCAAGGATGGACGGGGCTCCAAGAACAGAGAAAGAAGTGACAGGAAGAACAACTCCATTGAGTATATAGACTATGAACAACGCAGATTTGGCAGATAGTAGGAGTATTAGGTAAGGAATCTCTGGTTGAACTGCTGGGACCGGAGGATCTTTCTTTGCCTTTGCGGCCACGGTCACGATTTGAGAACAACGCCGTGTTGGAACTATCGGCCCGAGTGAGTCGAGCCTCATCAGCGGCAATATGAATTTCCTCACTGATGAGTAAGGAGTACAGCTGATCAAGACTGAGAGGTTGTGTCATGATTCGTATGGAGGTTTTGAAAGATTGATACTGATTGGGAAGGCCATTGAGGATATAGAGTATGATATCCTCCGAGTCGATTTGAGCTCCGGCAGCAGCGATTTGATCGACAAGGAGCAGTAGCGATTTGATCGACAAGGGATTTGACTTCATTTAGATATTGAAGCATAGTCATATTCTTGAGCGAAATATGGTGAAGTTCCTTTTTAAGTTGAATAACCTTGGAACGGTTTGTAGATTTAAACCGGGTTTGAAGGGTTGTCCAAATGGCAGAGGTAGATTCAAGAGTTAGAATGTAGGGAAAAATGGAGGCAGAAATCATTGAGCATATGGTAGCCGCTAGGTTTTGATCATTAAGAATCCATTGGGTATAGCAAGGATTGGGAGCAGTAGTGCCATCTGCGCGATGGGTAAATTTGTCGGGAATGGGATGTTAGGGATCAAGAAAAGATTCGAAGCCGTTCGCACGACAGATCTTAAGTAGCTGCGAACGCCAAAGCGGGTAATTATCAGGTAGATCCTAAGGTCTGAAATTTGTCTGGAAGAATCCTAGGGTCTAGAGTAGATCCTAAGGTCTGAAATTTGTCTGGAAGAATCCTAGGGTCTAGAGTAGATCCTAGGGCCTGGAATCTAGAAGGATCCTAGGATCTAGAATAGATCCTAAGGTCTGGATCTAGGAGAATCCTAGGTTTTAGATTGATATGAAAGAATCCTAAGGTCAAGATAGATCCTAGGATCTAGAGTCTAGATTGATGTAGGGTCAGGATTGATCTGGAGTCTGGATGGGTCCCTAGTGACCTCATACAAAAATGAGGTCAACAGGCTCATGGATCTTCAAGCCTGCTCTGATACCATGTAGAAAGCTATGTTCCTCCAAGGATGGACGAGGCTCCAAGAACAGAGAAAGAAGTGACAGGAAGAACAGAGAGAGAAAATATTATTTGATTACTGTCTTTCACTTGGTACAGACACATGTATATATAAAGCCTAAAGAAAACCATATAGGCGGCTACACAAGAAAGCTATACAGTATACAATTATATTGTTTTATTCTTGTGCTCTAATATTCTAAAGCAATTAAAATAATGCAATTTATGTAAATCACTAGATCACACAAGGGAGCTTGGGATTTAAAGATCAAAGTCTGCTTTTGATAATGCATGTTTGAGTATATATATTTAGGTTTAGCGTATTCGAGTTTCTAACATTCTCTCTTTGGGACAGCCGTGGCAAAGGACTCGGTGAAGATTCTGCGTTGATGATGATGGCATTTGCTGTTAACAAATATAAAATTCAGACCTTCCGAGCTAAAATTGGCGAATCAAACATTGCTTCACTTAAGCTCTTCCATAAGCTGGTCTCTCTATCTCTCTCTCATGAGCCACATCTATATAGGAAAAATTATTCTGCGCGGACGCCGAACGTCATCTGGAGACCAATCAAAATGCGCCACATCACCCTTTTACTGTACCGTTGCCTGGTACCACGGTTCTGTACCTATTGGTATTGTCGCTTGGTACCATGGCATCCGGGCGAAGAGTTGCGTCCAGCATCCACACAGAATAATTTCTCCATCTATAGACCATTATGCATATCTGATGGTTCTCTGTGTATGGACTATGCAGGGTTTTAAAGATGTTTCTTACAGTGAAGCCTTTAAGGAGGTAATGTTCATTTGTCTGTTATGTAAAAGTAGAGGTAAGTTTGATTTATTTTTGTGGTTTCGCATCATTTGACAGGTTACACTTGAGTTGCGAGTGACGGACCGTTCATTTGTAGATTTGATAGCCTAACTGGTGAATGTTTCTAACCCTGCTGCATTAACAAGTATTTACTTCTGAACCTTCCTTTCTTCCTCGTTAACCATTTTTATTTAACACCGTTAACAGGGTTTTACTATTGCAGATGATGTAATATTTATAATAATGATGGAATATAAAATATAAATATGTTATAAAAATTTATTCAATGCTATTTCTTATTTTAATTTTTAGTTATTTCTTATTGTAATTTTTAGTTGAATTTAGTTTAGGGGTGTCAAAATCGCATTTCGGGTCGGGTTCGACCCGAATCCGAAATTGACTCTAGTTTAAACGGGTTGACCCGAACTAGTTTTGCAAACGGGTCAAAAATATGAACTCGGACCCGGCCCGTTAAGTAATCGGGTTGACTCGACTCGACAGTTTTGTAAACCCAGACGTGCTGGACGGCAGAACAACGGGGATCGCATGACGCGTGGCTTGGTCGACGGTGACAGGCGAGGCTAGCATGGTACATCGGGGATCGCGTCGATGGCGGAAGGCAAGGCCAATGTGGCATACCGGGACTCGCATTGACGACGACACTACAGGCAGACACGACGCGACACAGTTACGTGGGCAGATGCTGCGCTGTCAGGCGGGCAGACGCGCAACGGGTAGCACATGTCTATCTGGGTCATTTTCGGGTTTTTGGATCAACTCGAACCCGACCTGATTTTTGAAATGGGTCAGTTTGTTGAACTCGAACCCAACTTGTTTCACAAACAGGTTGATCATAATCTGGAATTTTCGGGTCGAATAAAAGTCAGGTTTTCGGGTCGTGTCAAATATTAGAGAAATTATTGTGTGCGGAATCCGGGAATGCCACGTCACCGGGGCCCAGTGCATCCGGTGATGTGGCGCATCCGGATTCATCTCCGAATGCAGTCGGATTCCTTACACAATAATTTCTCCAATTATTGACACCCCTAATTAGTTTAATCTCTCCAAGTTTAAGATTTAAATAGTTTGGTTATCCATTACAACTATAATAGTTTTTTTTTTATTACTAGATTTATTAGAATATTACAATATGACAATTATAAGAAATTTATAATTTGTTTTTAAGAAAAAAAATAAAAAAATTATAATGATGTGTTAAATATGTGTTTGTGTCCTGTATTTCTTCTAATAATAGATGCATTTCATGTACGTATCGAACTTTGTTTGTATAGGTGCATCCTAGTTTGATTATGTTTTTCAATTATTTTATTATTTAAATACTAATAAATTAATAGAACAATATCATCTTAATATTAATTTCAAGTATTATAGTTATTTTGACGACTTCTTGTTCATTTCTAAAAGAAAATTATTTACTTTATATTAGCCAAAATAATATGTCTATATTCATAGTGAATTCTCTTTATTATTTGTTGGTAGCAATTGCCTAAAGATCGCCGTATTTTAAAACTTTTAGGGGGAGCAATTGCTTAAAAATTATTGTAATAAAGATCAAAAAATATATTTGAGGGAGACATTATCTAAATAATTATATAATAAAGAATTCTGCCTCTGTTGATGCCCTTCCTTTGGAACTTTTATTTGGTCTGGTGACAGGACGTAGCTCTACGTTCGGCCGCCAGTAGAATCTCGCCACGCGTTCTCACTATTTACCTCGCGCACCGACAACCCGACCCGGAACGGACTCAGGATTACTCGGTATTTCTCGATTTTGCTAGGTATTGCTCGGTATTGCTAGGTATTGGTTGATTTTGCTCGGCAATAACCAATATCGAGCAAATACTGAGCAATTACGAGCAAATACCGAGTAATACCGAGTCTAGAAAAACTCGGTACAACTCGGTTTTGCTCGGTATTACTCGGTATATATCTTTACAGAGTGGTATTTTTCGTTATTGCCAAGCAATACCTAGAAATACCGAGTAATACCTCGCAATACGCGAACATAGCATTCTAGGTTCCGGTCCGGGTCAATTCGTCGGGCCACGCGGTAAAGAGTAAGAGCACGTGGCGACATGTTATTGGCGGCCGAACGTAACTCTACGTTCGGTCAGAGGACGTAATAATTGTTCCTTCCTTTGAGCACCAATAGAGCCTTTCTCATGTTTTATAACAAGCTCTTGTTGCAACTTCCTTCATGCCTTCAATTAAATTAACGAGCCTAGCTTGAACTTAATACATGAGCTCAAGTTCAAGCCTACCATAAGGTAGACAAGCTTAGCTCGGGTTATAGCTAACCCGAGATTAACTTGACTCATTTGCTTCCCTATTTTTAGTTGTTTGTCTAACTAATTCTGTTGCTCCGATTGTTTTGGCTTAATTTCAAGCCCGAAAACTCGTAAAATTAATTTGTATGATAAAATATATTTCTTCAGACTAATTTAAATATTGAACTTTAAACCATTGTAATTAATTAAATAAATGATTACAGTAACATAAAATTAATAATTATGTTAAGTAATTATGGTGGGATAAAGACTTGTTTTATTAAGCAAATCAAATTTATCATTAAGAACATGACTAATAATTAATGATGGAAATAAGGCAAAAGAATTGGACAAATTTGAAATATTCAAATTAGAAGAGTTCAATACTTCAATGGTAAATTTGTGTAGGGGTTGATAGACATTAGCTGTGCCTTATAATTGTATAAAATTCTATCTTGCTTGCTAATTCCACCCTCTCTCTCTCTCTAGCTTAAAATTGGCTTATGAAAAAAATATTAAAAAAAGTTGGGCTATTTCTTTCCCCAAATCACATTAAACAATAAACATTCATTTAAATATGATTTGATTTTATTAAAAATTAAATAAACCAGTATTGGTAATTTTTCTTTTATCGGCTCAACGACAATCGATTGGGTCCAATCCAAAATCAAATTGATTATTAATTTGCATAAATAAAATTTAATTTAGATTGATCTCATGATCTTATTACTCCTAAATTATGAGCTATGTTAAATTAATTAATATTCATAGAAAAAATTATATCTAAATATCCTAATATATTTAATATTAAAGTGCTCTTAATAACAAATATATTTTATTTCGATTGATCATTTATTACCTCTTAATATAACTAAACTGTCAGATAAAATAATTAAATTATTAGATAATATAATTAAACTATCATAAAAGTAATCACATCTTAATATAAAATGTATTAGAATATCCAATGTTTTTTTTTTTGGTGAAAATTTATATTTTACTACTCAAAATTAATTTAAAATTATAAAATTCATTTTGAATGAAAGGCATGAGAACTTTCTATATATATATAATGCTCATTAGGAGGATGAGAAATTATACACGGTCATAGTTTAGAGACGAATCAGGACGTGCCACGTTATTTTTTTTATTGTGTATCGGTGCTGTGTACTAATGTGTATCAGGTGATGTGACACATTCTGATTCACCTTTGGACCATCCGGTGATCGTACAAAATATTTTTTTCAACCAGGAGGGTAGGTGATGACCAAATTTTATCGTATACATTTTAAAATATTGAATTAATGAAATTAATTGGGTGCAATTTTAAAGATTAACTAATCAATATATAATATCTTGGAAGAGCTCAAAAATTGAAAGCTATAATTATACGTACGGAAATTTATAATTTAAACGTCCAATTTGTAATAAAGATAGATATTCTCTTATAAATATTCACAAATAGGAAAGAAACAGTCATTCAAATTTGTATGTATTGTGCAATTTATTAAAAAAGTTGGGTTAATTTGTATACTTTGCTAACGCGTTAACGGTCAAATGAATTTAACAATTTATTAGGTTAACTCAAGTCTCAAGATACTGATGAACGGAATAGTCTCTTTCATAAACGATTTTTTTAATTACAATTTAAACCCTAACATTTACTCTTATTTACTCCATGAAAAGCTTGATAAGGTATATTAAAATATTACAAATGAACACACAATTTTTTTAAATTGCATCTAATTTCACAAAAAGTTGGAATTTCACAGATTAATTATTAAAAGAAAGAAAATTAATATTTTAGTTATTTTCATCCCTAAATATTTAAATTTTTAAAATAAATATTCAAATATAGTTTTAAAATAAAAATACCCATAAAATTCCCATCTCATGAAATTTATTTTTTAAAATAAGAATACTCTTAATTTAATTTAAAATGGAGATTATCACCTCATCACTAGCAACTGACTAACTAACATAATTTATTCTTTTTAGTATTAAATATAGTAAAATAAAATTTATTTTTTTATATAGATATGATGAGGTCTTATTTATTATCTCATTAGAGCCATTTATTACATGTTTATTCTTTTTTTTTTTTTGATCGGGTAAATGCTCGAATTTATTTTATTAGGATTCTTAATTTTTTTTTTAAATCAATGAGCTACAAATTCAAACATTTTATTGATTATCTTATTAGAGTCTTATATAGTCGTTATTTTCATTGGAAATGTAATTTAATTTAAAAAAATATATTATTATGTGATTAATTTTAAAAAAAGCATCAATTTTAATATTTTTATATTAGATTTTTTTCTTCTTTTTATCTAAACATATCAATTTATTAGATAATTAATTATAATTAAAATTATTTATCTATTTCTTTGATAATAAAATATATTGTATATAAAAAAGGAGATATAATTAAGAAAATGGTGTCTATTTATTTAATTTTATAAGTCTACATATCATAAAAATAATAAAAATAGAATTTTTAATGAAGGTGAATGGCGGCCAGGTGCCAAGTGAAAGGTAAGACATAAGCTTCCACTTTCAATCCCGCCCAAGCCCAACAACTACTCCACCCACTTCCCCTCTCTTTTAATAAATCAAAATCTGCTTCTCTTTTCCCATCCCAAATCCTCCAAATTCCTCAAGCCCTAACTCTCTTCGATCCAACTTTCACCTCTCCGCAATCCAAAGCTCCTCCTCTGCTTCAACCCAACCAAAAAAATCCCACCTTTTCACTCAGAAATGTCCACAATCCTCCTCCTGTTCATCCTCCTCTCCTTCTTCCCCTTTTCCACCCCTCAACCGAGCTGCACTCTCAACACCTTTTCCCAAAATCGAATCTTTAGTCTCTGCAACTCCCTTCCCGAGCTGTCGAGCACTCTCCACTGGACCTACCATCCCTCTAACTCTACCGTCGACATCGCCTACCGCGCTCCGCAATCTGCCGACGGGTGGATTGCGTGGGCTCTCAACCCAACCGGCTCTGGCATGATCGGTGCCCAAGCAATCTTCGCCTTTCTCGACTCCACCGGCTCCATGACCACCATTTCTTACCCTTTAGCCAACACTCGCCCTATGGTGAGGAATATAAGCCTTAGCTATAAGGTTTATAGCATGGAATCGGAGTTTTTGAATGGGATGATGGTGATTTATGCGACGATTGAGTTGCCGGGGAATAATACGAGGGTTAATCATGTGTGGCAGGAGTCAAATTTGTTTACGAATGGGTTTCCTAATGGGCACCGGACGAGTGGCCCCAATGTTTTATCGACGGGAGAGCTGGATTTACTTTCTGGGCAGTTTACGGCTGCTGGGAATTCCAGGCTTCATCTCAAGAATGTAAGTGGTGGTTAGTTGCTGATTTTTATTATGAAGTATGAAAATCTTTGGATTTTTCTAGTTCCGAGTTTGGTTTATTTGATTCATTTATTGGATTTCCATTATTCAGCTGTAGTATTCATTTATAATTTTTAAGAAATTCAAAAATTTTTCCTTACTGATCTTCAGTGTGGTTTATCCAATCTTTCTGTTTTGTTGAATCTTTTCCTTGACTCTTTTACTCTTTAGATTTTGTCTATCTGAATTCCAGGCTTCACCTGAAGAACATGAGTTATTTGCTGACCATGGTCCATGGAAACTCAATGATTTGATTCTGTAATTGGATTTCCATGATTGCTGGATATTTTAACTTTCCAAGCAATCTGCAATTTTTATAACTGGAGATTAACTTCCATTTCTTGGTCCTTCGTTCAACCTTGATTTTTTCTTTTCCCACAATTTTCTTTTTTTCAATGAACTTTTCTTGTTTTCCAAGTTATTTACCTCCTTGCTTAATCTAACAGTCAACCATTTATTTCTTTTCTGCAATTTGCTTCCGATAATTGACATCTCTCAAACGATCAACAATCAAGTAGTGGGACAAAGGCTTGATGTTGTTGTTGTTAACGATCAACAACAGCAACAATAACATCAAGCTTTTGTCCCACTAAGTGGGGTTGGTTGCATGAATCCTTTTTCGGCATTATGTCCTGTTAAAAGTCAATTTCTCATTTAAATCTAATAAAGAAAGATCATTTCTAATATTTTCTAACCAAGATCGTTTGAGAGACGAAAATGTTCTATGTGGCATGATTGAAATTGATATATATTGCAGAGGCATGGAGTCCTGAATGCAGTGAGTTGGGGCATTTTGATGCCTATTGGAGCTATCATGGCGAGGTACTTGAGGGTGTTCAAGTCTGCAGATCCAGCATGGTTCTACCTTCATGTTGCTTGCCAGATCTCGGCTTATGTTGTTGGGGTTGCTGGATGGGGAATTGGCCTTAAACTTGGGAGTGATTCTAAAGGAATTACATACCAAACCCACCGAAACATTGGGATTGCTCTCTTCTGCTTAGCTACCCTTCAGGTACAAAACTTCTGCAAATTTAGTGTTTTAAGGCTTCAAATTATCTTGAATCAGTGTTTCAAAAGTTAAAAAGCTCTAAGAAATGTGGCAATTTTATTAAGTAAAATCCACCCTTTCACTAATTTGTTTATCTTCTATGCTGTTTTTATTCCATTTCTAGCTTTGATTTTGCTTGCCTATGCTTTTAAAGCAAATTTGTCTCAAAATGGAAATTTTCAAATATGAAGTTTATTTTGGGCCATAAGTTAAAGCTTATGTTTGTTGGAAAATTGGTGAAACTTAATTCAATCATTGAGCACAAAAAATAAATAAATAAAAAATAAAAACACAAAAAATTACATATATTCACCCAATTGATGCGAACATTAGGTTGTTTACATTACATATTTCATTATTATTTAATTATTTAAACTTATACAAATGTATAAGATGACACTTTCCTATTTTTAAAGAGAAAATTAGGGTTGGTTAAAAAATATAATACAATTTTTAAAACTCCCATTATGAAATAAGCGAAATACTATTTGATACTTTTGAGAGGCTTTTCATCCTCTCCAAACCCTACAAATGATCTTGCCATGAATATTGACCAGTGGCTAAGTTTTCTTCATGGGACAAAAACTAGGTTATTTAGTAGTATTCATCTTTGCTGCAAAGTCAGGAAACTTACAAATTTTCACCTTTTAGTTGTATCCATACTTCGTTTAGAGAAATTATAGCAGGAAGGAAATGAAGAAGAGTTAGAAAGATATGCATGTGATTATATAAAACTTGATTTATGAAATAATTATGCCATCAATTCTTATTTTCTTTTACTCTCCATATTTCCAAATTTGCTGTTCAAAACTTCTTACAATCTGTCTACTTATGGTGTTAGGGTTTAGTGTTTGAATAGATTACAAGTGACTGGGTTGTCCTTAAAATTGAGGACGATCAGATTACACAAGTCAATTGTCGGGTTGAAATCTAATGATGAATGGAGATCGGACGAAAATCCGGCGATGGAAGGAAGTCATTTAGTCATCCAATTTATGCTTTGAAACTTCTAAATGTGTTTCAGACCCTTGATTTGGACCTATTTGTGCTCATATTGGATTGAATTTGGTTTCGTTGGGTTCGTCTATTCGAGATGTTCATTTTGACTATAAATTTGATGAAATGGGAGTTTGGATGGTCTTGGAATTAATTTCAAAAGTTTTTTTATTCAAATCTCTCTTTAGATTCTTGCCCGATCAATATTATTTTTTGATGATATATCAGGAAGGAAATGAAGAAGAATTGGAAAGATATGCATGTGATTATATAACTTGATTTATGAAGTAATTATGCCATCAATTCTTATTTTCTTTTACTTTCCATATTTTCAAATTTTCTGTTCAAAACTTCTTACAATCTGTCTTCTTATAGTGTTACTTACATCAACATAGAACTGATCTTCTATGTTTATATAAGCATAGATATGCATTGCTTTCTTATGTAAAGAACTTCAATGATGTTAGGTGTTTGCATTGCTTATGAGACCCAACAAAAACCACAAGCATCGCCTTTACTGGAACATCTACCACCATCTCACTGGCTACAGTGTCATAATCCTCAGTGTGATCAATATTTTCAAAGGATTTGATATCTTAGAACCTGAGAACAAATGGAAACATGCTTACATTGCAATCATCTCAGCTCTTGGAGGCATTTCAGTGATTCTTGAAGCTGTAACTTGGGCTATTGTTCTGAATAGAAAGAAATCTGAGAGTTCTGAAAAGTTTCAACAGGGTGGAAATGGAGTGAATGGAAAGACTGGTCATGATAGCAGACAGCATCAGGAAGCTTAGTTCTGATCTCTTCTTTGTATAGTAGTTATAATTTCATTGTTTTTTCATGATTATTTTTTATTTGGCTTTCTTTTTAATAATCTTTTGTACTTAACAGAGTTGTAATTTTGTTTAAGGGTTGAGGCATCAGCTTTAGCTTGTTTGTTCTTGCTAGTTGGAGACATGGATCTTCTGTATAGTGCCTCTTTTACCCTTCATATTGTGTTGCTATTGCATATTTATCTGTTGTTTTTTTGTCTCTTTTTAGTTTGTCTTGTAAGGGCATTTCTGGTGTTGTTTGTAATAAAGAAAAATTCACCTTAATCTATCCCTTTGGAATGCGAAATATAGATTTGAGCCATAATATTTTAGATTTTCATTCTTTTCAATTTTGTTTGGTGGAACCTATTGAATGTATATTTCTTGGGGGTGTTTTCGTAATTTGTAATTATGATAAATAGATTTTGAGAGAAATTGTCTTTTTCTTAAATATTTAACTATTGGTGTTGCAATAGATTTGATTCTATCAATTTTGATATAGCTTAGATTTTTATTGCTGTGTAAAAAGCCAGTTATTTGTTGATTTTTGTAGTTCTGATTTATGATTTGTTTGGAATAGTTTTCTTTTTGCTTTCTAAAATAGCTTTCTAGTACAAAATTTTTCAGTTTAAAAATTTTTTGTATTACAAAGCTATTTTAAGAAGCAGTAAGAAAGCCGTCTCAAATGAAACCTTAATTGATTGTAGCAATACCATTTTGGTTCCTATTTAATGAAATTTTCATTTGAAACTAAGGTTTCGTTTGGAACAACTTTCGTATTGCTTTCTGAAATTGCTTTCTAGTGCAAAATTTTCAAATTCAAGAAATTTTTGTACTTGAAAGTTGTTTTAGAAAGCAATAAGAAAGCTGTCCCAAACGAAGCCTAAGAGGGGGGTTTTTGGCTATGTAGGTGCTGTTTGTTCTCCTAAAAAAAGATTGTAGTTATTAAAAAAATAAATCTTATTTCCACAGAATTTCAGATTTATTAAAAAGATAAATTTCATTTCCTCATAGAATTTCAGATAAAAAAAAATTATGTTAGAATATTATGATATAAATTAGATCATATGGGCATAAAAGTTTTTGAATTTATTTTATGATTGTACAATTATAAAATTTTCATATATAACATTAATCTAAAAAATGAATTCAATAATTCGAGATAATCCCAATTAATCATTCAGTGTTGAATGAAGATTTCCACTGTTGCATATGTACGTACCATCTTATGTCTTTTATTTGTTGATGAAATTTTGCACTTTATTTTGTCTACGTGTAATTTTTAATTTTAAATCTGATATGAAAATAATAATAATAATAATAATGATGATGATGATGATGATGATGATGATGATGATGATAAACAAAATGCTAGTGCGTGTTGAGCATAATGTTATAGAGGTGTTAAAATGAGTTTTCAGTTTAGTTTCAGGTCTAACATGAAAATGATGTGCAATTAGTTGACCCAACACGAACCCGAATTGATTGGGGAAACATGTCACAGACCCGTTTAGCCCTGCTTCCGCCAATTCGCTCGATTTCGGCTTTCAAGCAAGCACACTCAGCCGGTGACCCAAATCGAAATAGCGAACCGTGAACGAAATGAAATTCTGCCTTTCGTCCAATCTTCCATTACAAACTTCTGGTGCTTCTTCGGCAAAATCCATAAATCCGTCCGACCTGGATCAAAATCGAGTTAACGGGTTGAACCGGGCCCAACTTGTTTTTTTAACTAGTCAAAATTTTAGACTTAAATCTGATTCGTTTGTTAAACCGGTCAATCCGAACTTGAAATTTTCAAGTCAGGTCCAAATCGAGTTGACATATCGGGTCAAGTCTTTATACCTCTGTAAGGTTGTATGCTTAGATAAGCCTATGTATTACTTCATAGAAAAAAAAAATCGACTTCATATTAGTTCATAGAAAAAAAAAGGACTGAATATTCTCAATATGTTTTTTGAATGAGTCTTAAATCAATAATTTTTATAGAGAATAAAATAATATATATGTTGATTAATTCATTTTATATTATATTTATTTAAAATAAATCTAATAATTTTGAGAATCATTCTAATAAACACCTTTTTGCTTCATTATAAGTTTTAAAAAATGATGAATCTCACTTTGGAAGTTAATTCAAGACTTTATTAAAATAATCTAAAAATAATAATTTTCATATTTAAAAATTGAAAAAGTTAACACAAGACAAGATAAACCACAAATGCATTTGAAAGACTTGATTTTTCTTGTGTCTTAAATGTTAACTTTGTGTTAAATTTTCAGACGAAGAAATAAAAGTCACGAAGGATATGTTTGATCGACTCAATTAATTTTTTTATCTTGTACTCCCCCTAATTATGTAGTAATCATTAATGGGAAGCTGTGTTAGTAACAACAATGATTACTACATAATTAGGGAGAGTAGGTTCTTACAGGAGAGAAGAATTGAGAGAAGATCGAGATTTTTGAAAAATAGGTGGGGGTCTTGAATAAAAAATTAAATAAAATGAAATGAAAAACATTAATTAAAATGATATGATTGGAGATAATTGGAATTCACTTTTAATTTTGGAATATATTTGATTAAGAGCTTCAAACTTATTGATATTTTTTATTTAGAATAATTGGACAATATTTGATTTTTTATTTTAATTTAACATAATAAATAAATAAATTTGAACACTAACATACTCATCAGATTCATGAATATAGTGATTTATCTAATAGATTACTTATTAAGAGTTTAATAAGTGCTAATTTAGTTATTTTATAACTACTTATTCTATGTTATTTATATTTTAATTTTTTATAATACTATATAATGAAAAACATTGAGTATAGTTACCATGCATAACTTAATTTTTAATATTTTTATAATATTTATTATTAAAATATTAAAAAGTACTATATGATAGATTAAAATATAAATACTTATTATAATTAACTTAAATGGATAGATTAAATTTGAATCTTTCACTTTCTTAAAAAATTTAAAATAATTCTATGTAATCATTTCAAATTCTAATGTTTAATAACACTTTATTTAAATCACATAATATTTATGGACATATAGTTTGATCAATTAGAATTAAAATATAATGACTATAATGGCCAAATGAGCTCTTGTTGTAAAATTGATACTTCTCATAAATCAAAATTTTAAGCTAGATTTACAATTTCATTTAGTCTCACACGAAAAATATTATAATTTCATTTTGGGTCGGGTCGTCGGGCCGCCATGTGGCGGCATTGTATTGGTGTTCGGACATAGATTTACGTCCGGACTCCACAGCAAATAATTTCTCCTATTCTAAGGGGTTGTTTGAATACGGGATTTATGTCGAATTTGCTCAAGATTTACACTAAGGCTTCGTCTGGAATAGCTTTTTAACCACTTCTTAAAGCAATTTTTTAATGCAACAATTTTAATTTTTTTTACTAAAAAATTGCAAACTGTCCCAAACGAAATCTAAATCCTGCCAAATAGGATTTATACTATTGTTCGAAGCCACGACGAAATAAATCAGCCGTTTCCTTTTTTTTTTTTTTACGATAAATCCCTAATTTACTAAATCCTACCGGTCGACAAATTTAACATTTGGCATCCTGCATTACAAATAACTACCTTAAATCCTGATTATATTGCCAAACAGTTTCATAATATTTAACAAGATTTAATACTTATGTTGCCAAACAGTTTTCAGGATTTCAAATTGGCAGAATTTAATAAATCTGGTTTTATAGGATTTACAGTCCAGACTTATTAAATTCTACTTGTTAGCCAAAACGTTGAAATACTGAAACAATTTAGTCATCAGTGAAAAAGGAAAATAAAAACATATGAAAATATTTACAAGCATAACATAAAAATATTGAAAGCTAACTGAACATTTGAGTGTGATCCACTAAGAGAGCAGACTGTCACGCTCAAATGTTGGAACAAGAGGTTTGGCTAAACCTTTTGGGCGTGACATGCCGAGCAGACTGTTACATGACATTGGAAGGTTCTGGAAAACTTCTTCGACTTTGCTCGCCATGTCACGTCCAAGGGGTTGTTTAGCCAAATCTTTTGTTCCAATATTTGGGCGTGGCAAAACGCTCCTTACACTGAAAGTGCTGATATGTCCTGCATAACTTGAGCCTTGTCTGCATCAAACTGCTCGTCCTCTGTAGAAGTTTGGCATCAGAATTGCTCACTTATGCTTAAGAATGATACAAATGAAAAAAAAAAGAAAATTAAACAGACCTTTTTCTAACTTGAATTCACCGAGGAGACGAAGAAGCTTGTTTTTGTTCGTCAAAAGTATTGTTCCAATCTCAGCTGGTTTGTTTTGGTTGGCAACGAAGAGCTGAAAGGGAGGGAGAATGAGTAAGAACAATGAGGAATGCGCGTATTCATCAGGAGAGTTAAAAGGAATAGTACCTTGAATACGTGGAAGGCTTCTTTTTGTATGCTTTTGCTTTCATGCTGAAAATAGCAATAACTTTATCAAATATAACATTTGCCTAAATGTTTGAATAAAAGCTCTTAAACATGTTAACATTCATGGATTGGGATTTGGGCGTATTAGATCAGAAGTATTAGGATCTCTCAATTTAGTTCAGACAAAATTCCCTAGCTAAAAACATCTTAAAATTTGTTTGGCATCATTTTTTATATAAATAAAAAATATTTGGTTAGTATTTTGTAACTTCTTTGTTTACAAATCAAGATGTTTTTAAAAATAATCAAAATACTGATTGGGTGTTTTCAATATTTTTCAAAAAATAACTCTTGGATAAGAACATGATTACATGAAAAAAGAAATGAACAAGAAAACAAAAAAGACTAAGGCTTCGTTTGGGATAATTTTCTTACTGCTTATTAAAATAAATTTTTAGTATAAAAATTAAAAAATTTGTACCAAAAAGCTATTTTAAAAAGCAGTAAGAAAGCCGTCCCAAACGAAGCATAAAATGCCGACCAATCCTACCAAATTCAGTAAAAAGACCCAGAACTAAAGTGCATTAATAAGAAAAGATCTCATACTCTTAGAAGATTCATTGGAACTATCAAGTTATCCTTTGAGTTAACATATCTTATCATAACAGCAGAATTTGATCGATCTAGCAATATGTCTCCCAAAAGCTGAAACAGCACAAAAGTTTGAGTGAAACTTCACAGCAAAAGAAAGAATGAAAAACGTTCATACCAATTTTCATTAAAATAGTATAAGCAAAGTGAGAAATAGCACCTTGATAGCTTGTCTAACTGTTACATAGTTCGTAGATGACATCAACTTCTCATTAAACTCTGTGAAAAACTGAAACAATGGAAAATGGGCGAAAGAATAGATCATATTTCGGATAAGATATCATAGATCATACTTGGATAAGCTCTAGCAACTATTTACTTGATCACTATACGAAATCTAAAGTATTTCGAAGCATGATCAAAGAATACATTAGTACTCTGAGATCTTCAAACTTATTTGGCAGAAAATCTTCAATTGTGTATGTGTAGTATGGCTAATTTGCACTTTGATATAATACTTCAACAGATATTTTTAATTTAAATATGTAAAAATATTTTTATGTGTTTGAGAAATCCTACAAGTAATTTTTAAGATTGAGGATCTCAAAAGGCACAAGCAAGAGTTAGTAATCATACACTTTGAGTAATTAAATTTTTGTGTTAGTTCATTACACTCAAATTTAAAAGTAGAGTCCGCTGCATTTACATATTGACTACATGAGATTAAAACAAGTGCATTTTTACCAAAACAACTAAAAATAACTCAGATCAAACTCATCTTTAGAGCTTATTTTGAGAACACATCTAAACAACATTTGATATTATCGCATAGAAAAATAAAAGAAGCAATCATACAAACTGATGCAAAAGAGTAACATACCCAATCATAGTTCTTAGAAAGAAATTCAGCTACAGTTGATTTATGCCTTGTCATGAGCTCCTGCAAGTCAAAGAAAATCATTTTCCAGTGAAGATAATGGTACTCAAAAATAGCAGTACGTTCCACAAATCAAAGCCACAAGCTCAAAAGTTTTGAATTAAATATCTGAAGCTGGTCAATTTCTTCCAAGTTAATTTAAGAAGTAATGCAAAAAACACATCCATTCGCACAAAAAACATATTTGCTAAGTAATCATGAAATAGATTGAGGGCAGAATTAACTTGTTAAATGGGATTGTTTTATAGAGCCAATCATCGATGCACTTTGCAGACATAAAGTCAATGCAGAGCTTTTTATTGTAGTGATAAAGAAATTGTAAATAAGCCTCAGAGATTTCTACAAAAAATGTAGAAATATTATTAATGAACCATACCCATAAGGATCTAAATACTAAAGCACCATTAAAGAAGACATAAAACCAATATAATTAGGTCAAATTAGATCTCTTCATCATTATCATTAGCCCTATCCTAACTATTTGGGATTGACTATATGAATCCACATTTTTTATTTATTCTTGTTGAGTGTTGGTTAAGGTGCATAACATATTCTTTATAGCACAAAATCAATTTAAAAAAAAATTACGTTAAAAGAAATCTAAATTGATGAGGATATCGGTCCGAGATTTCGACATGTGTACCGTCGTCGGAGTCGTAGATCGACGGCTACGATCCAGAGTCTGTACTTTTGATAGATTTTGTATTTTATTTATTTTCTTTTTCTCTTCTTCCTAGTTTACCCCTGTGTGGGTAGGCCCCGAGGGAATTTGTGTCTTTCTGGACGTTAAAAGAAATCTAAACTGATGAGGATATCGGTCCGAGATTTCGACATGTGTACCGTCGTCGGAGTCGTAGATCGACGGCTACGATCCAGAGTCTGTACTTTTGATAGATTTTGTATTTTATTTATTTTCTTTTTCTATTCTTCCTAGTTTACCCCTGTGTGGGTAGCGAGTCGCTATTGTAGCCCCGAGGGCATTTGTGTCTTTCTGGTTTTCTTTCATTTGGACCTATTTATAGGAGGCCTATTGCATTGTAATGAGATGATGAATTATTGAATGAAATTTTATGTTCTTTGTTTTGATCTCTAAGTGAGTTCATGAGAGGAGAAACCCGAGGAGGGTGATAGCAAGACCCATCAACCGTCGGAGGATTCCAAGGTTCGCACCCCCGATCTCTTCTTCTTCCCCTAACATAAACTTCCTCTACTCACCCATCACCCGCAAGCCCCTCCCACCCAAATCCCCTTTTTCTCCTTCCCAAACCTGAGCCCCACCTTATACCGCCGGCCTCCTTAGACGCCCCACCCGCCGGCCACCTTTCCCCCTTGCTCAAAACGCCGGCCCGCCTCCCCAAGCCCTCACATTTGAAATTCAAATTTCAAATATTCAATTACTCACTTTCCTAAAATAAGTCTTAGTCAATTAGGAAAGTTTTCCATAGGGAATTCAATTAAATAATTGAGTTCAAATACTTTCCTATTGTCTAAATTTAAGTTAGGAAACCTCTCTATTTAAATAAAATCTAATTTAAATTTCAAATTTTGATTTAATCCTTGGGGTCCACTTATTTAAACCAAATCCCTCTCACCCTCTCTCTACATGGCCGGCCATCTATTCCCTTCCTCTCTCCTCTCTCTGACACAATGGAGAAAAAGGATTCATGTAGCCGACCCCACGTAGTGGGATAAAGGCTTGATGTTGTTGTTGTTGTTGTTGTTGTTGCCCTCAATTAAGACTCCCTATTCATCTCCCACAATTCCTCTCTTCCACTTTATTTCTTTCAATTTAAATTTGAATTCAAATTCAAAGTCTTCCCTCCAATTCCACTTAATCTGAAAATTAATTTCAGATTTCTAAAAATCCTCCTAATCCAACCTAAACCTAACCGCCCCTCCCCTCTCCACCTCCTCCTACCTGAGAATCCCCATCTTCCCCTCCTATGCTCTTGGCCACCTCTCCTAGGTGACGGCTCCTCCACCATAACACCAACATGATGCCAAGATCCTTCCATGATCATGTATGGCTGATCCGGAGCTTGATCACGGATTTGTGTTCAACTCTCAAGGGGAGATCGACGTCATCCAATCACCGTTCTTCGACATTGGATTCGGATTCGACCACACCGTTGAAGAATACCTCGATCGTATTCTTTTACACCTAGCGGACATCATCGACGAGTAACGACCTACGGGAGAGTGGACAATCACCAGATGCCCATCCGCTCTTCCAACTCCGGCTTCTTCCCCGGCGACTAGCCCCCTTGGCCTCACGTGTCTACTAGTGGCATCCATAAGCTTGTTTGCAATCTTCCTCCGCTAAGTCGAGCGATCTCAAGAGTGTGAGGGATCCCAAGGTGAATGATCTAAAATTTAAATTGTGGATTTTGTTACGTGCCATTCGCTCTACTCATTTTTTTTTATGATGTAATTTTGTGAGTTTCCCTATTAATCTTTATTGTAATAACTTGTCATTACTTAGCCTTCCATGAACTTTTCCGAAAATCTAACTTGAATACGCATCCATTTATGCTTAGCCGAGCAAAGCTCATAATTTATTAATTTCGTATATGCAATTCTTGTTTCATCTTCATTGTATTACATCATAAACTCACAATCGTCTCGTCTTCCTAGCGCGACTCATTTGGTATAATCACGTGTGTAAGCTGTTGCACGGTATGCTAAACACTATGAAATCCCTTTAGGCTCCTTATTTATCTCAAGAAAGCACGAGTCCTTATTGAAAATGTTGACATATGCTAAAAGCTCCCATAAAAGCTCATACTAGTAAATGATCTGCACATATTGTTGCGTACGTAAATTAAGTTGATACGCTCCTCAATCAACTACACATCACCCTGTTATTTCTTATTCAATGAATCTGTCCACCACTCCAAGCAGTCATCTTCCAGATTCCCAATTTTCCCTTCCCTCTCTCAACAAAGTAACCAATTTGGGATTATATTCATTCAACAGGTATCCTCACTCAATAAAGAAAAATACTTGAATCTGTCCACCTCTATTGTCAGTTCCTCAATATTGTAAAAATGGGAGGAGATAACCTTTTTTTTTTCTTTTTTCATATAAATCGCATGAAAAGAATCCAAAATGAAAAATAAATAAAATCTTTGACCATATCATAATCTTGTGATGCGTTGTAGGTCATATGTATTTCACAGGTAACAAAAAATTAATAAAAGAAAATTTGATGAAACTTTAATTGTTCGAAAAAACAAGTAATTGTATTGATAATATGTGGCACTTGTGGCAAGAGAAAAATTAAAAATATGTGATATGTATACCCTGAATGTTGCAAACACATCCGATGCTATGTCGAAATTTGGAAGTTGTAGATAGTCAAAGAACTTCTTCATGTGCTCAGACTCCAAAACAGCCCTGCAAATAAAAAAATGAGATAAAAAAGGGATGTACAACAACAACAACAACATCAAGCCTATATCCCACTACGTGGGGTCGGCTACATGAATCCTTTTTCTCCATTGTGTCCTATTAAAAGTCAAATTCTCATTTAAATCTAATAAAGAAAGGTCATTCCTAATATTTTCTAATAGTTGGTTAAAGCAATATTTCACTATATTCAAATCCTTTTAAGTGTGAAAAACAAGCTGGGACAGTTGGGGCATGCGCCCCCACAACTCCTTCCACCTCTTTTAAAAAAATAATGATGTTTAGTAGTTTTAATCATTTTTTAATGATGCCACTCAAATCTAATTCTCATAATGGTGCCCCTAAGCCCCTCTAATGGAAAATTGTGGCTTTATCCTTAGATCCAGGAAAGGAAATTATAGTTTTGATAGGAAATATGGGAATATTCGCATGGTAAGAAGGTAATCAGGAACAACCACCCTAGCATATCTAGAATATGAAGCAATAATTAACTTAGTAGATGTTTAAAATCAAGCATATAAATCACATAATATGCATGCACTTTAGAACCCCATAAAACAATAATCAGCGTGATTCAGAAAAAAGAAAAAAAAACGAGAAGTTAAACAGGAATGTGGATCAAGGCTCTCACAATCTCCACAATCACTCACACTTATCATTCCTCTATGGAGAAAGAATCCACAAAACTCACAAAGCTGCATTTCAGAAAAGATCACAAGGACCAATATGAAGCAAAAAAATGAACATCCTGTAATTCAATATTTACTAGATTTCAATAAAAAGAAACTATTGATAATACAGAAAATTTAGATACACATAATGTTATACCTTGCAATGCATTGATGTCTGATGCACTCCCTCAACATGGCACCATAGTGTAAGGCAATATCCATATCCTCATATCTGCAAATAAAATGAAAAAATTTAAGGCAATAGAAAATATCTTAAACAAGCATTGCAATAAAAACTTATCTTTATCTCTTGTTTTTAAAAAAATACAATTCGCATGTAGTACTCAACGAGGGCCAAGAGGCTAATATTCATTCCAATCTTAGCGTTATGAAATTTCATTTTTTGTGTCAAATCCAGAATCATAACGTGTTAAAGCTCACCCAGTTATTAAAATATCCAAAAGATCTTTATTTGCTTCCAAATAATCAGAAGCAATCAATCGTGAGTGAACTTGTTGCCTTTGCAAATTTGCAACTACTTGAGTAGCATCTTTTCTAGCCTACACAAAATCAAAATAAAAAAAACAATTTCAATGATGAAAAGACAATTCCAGATGTAAAGTAAATGGGCATAAACATGAATTCTGACATTGCATTAAAATTAAAAAGACAAAATTACAATTTGTTAAGTCCATATAAATTAATCAAATAAATATAGTGCAACAGATCCATCGCTAATAATATCTTGCCCAAACCACTCTTTGAAGCTATCGATCATATATTAGCAATGCCTCGTCAGAAAAATAGGATATAAATGTACCTCAAGATTCAACTTTGGAAGGCTTGTTATGATTAGACGTAGTGTGTTTTCTCTGAAAAACTCTTGAGTCAATTGTGCACATGCTTCAGTCACCGGTTCAGCTTCACCGTTCCCATATAAAACATATTTCATCTCCCGAATAGCTTTACTTAGTTCAACCATCTATAAGGGATTAGTATAACACTATTAATTACATTTATAATCATAACAAAAACCAACCAAATAACAAGAGAGAAATAGTTATAAGATGCATTTTATTAAAAACATGAGAGAAAGTTCATGTACAATTGCATTATTAGACACCAAAATGTTCTCGAGTAGCAAGCCAAAATTAGAAACAATCATCAAATATCGTATTTCAGAATCAATTTCGTATCACCATAAGTTCAACCAAACAACATTATCACATAAAAATTTTCCAAAATACTTCATCTCTTATCAATCAAAAGAAAATTTCTTAATCTATTTAGCAATCCATCGGCATGGAATAAACTAAATTCGCAAAACAACGCTGCTCTTAATCCACCACTCCTCGAATAAAATACTAATAAGCTAACCCGGCCCATCCAAAAAAGAAAAAGAAGAAGAAAACCCTACATTTACATAAAATCCTGCAAAAGAACCAGTACAAACAATATTATAAGAGGATTACTGATGACAGGGATCAATACGAAGACCAGAGAAACAATACCTTCTCCTCGCGCTTGGTTTCCCGCGTATTCGAGTTGGCATCAATGCAAATAAGGAGATCGCGAGTGTGCCGCACAAGATCAATCGGCGTCCGCGCCTTGGACTTGAAAAGCCCCTTCATCCTTTCTTCTTCAACTTGGGAAGCCCTCCCCTTCCGTCGCACAGGCAAAGCTTAGCGTTTCCGGCGAGAACTGCAGGCGCTGAGATCAGTGGATCTGCTAGGGTTACAGGCGGAGGGAAAGTGTGCACGAGCAGCGATTTCTCTTCGAGAGCGAACCATAATAACGGGCGGCCATCAAATAGAAACGCCAAGAGAACGATTGGTGGGAAGTATAAAGAGAGAGAGAGAGAGAGAGAGCCAATGGGCGCAAGCGATTAGACCGATGGGCAGTTGAGACAGGTTTTAATTGCTAACCGCTAAAATGTGCTTACAAATTAACGTGATTTATTAAAAAAAAGTATATATTAAAAAATCCCAATAAAATTCAATTTAAAAATTAAAATTCATTTTAAATTTATTTTAAATAAATGGAAATATTAATTATTTATATATTATATTTATTTTAAAAATATTTAAAATTTATCCGGATTAAAATTTAAATTAATATAATTCGATATAAATTATATTATTATGAATTTTATTAATTAATTTATATTTTGATATTTTGTATAAGTAGCATAATATTTTGATATAATTTATATTTATATACATATATTTTTAATTTGACAAATCATATAATATATAATAATATTTTTAAAATATTATATAATATATTTAAATGAAAAAAAATATGTAATTAGATTATTATGTATTTGAAAAGTTTATTTTATTATTTTTTTAATTATGTTATATATTCTTTCTAATGCAACTTTCGCTTAACCCTTTATAATTTATATATTTTTAATAATAGGATATTTCCTTTATGTGGTTGAGGACATCCACTATTGAATTTATTTGGAAATAAATATGGTTTAAATTTTAATAATTTAAATAAATATTGTTATTTTTTAATAAATTCAATAATTTTAAAAATAATCCTTATCGAATTTAGAATAAAGAATATATGATCAATTAATCAAATCTAGTTGTCATCAAATCTATACAGTATGACCATATTTGAACATCAATATATGGTAAAAATTATGCATTGAAAATTTTATCAATACAAAATTATTTTTATTTTTCGATGGCGAAAATATAAATTTAATTAAAAAAATATCAAAAATATAAAATCTTTGAAATCAGAAATAGGGTAAATGTTCCTTACAGCGAAACGAGCAAGTCTTTCAACAGCGTCGACCGACGAAAATTGCATAGCAACCTCCAAATCTCAAATTTTATTTTCTCTCCTCACATTCTCTCTTAAATCCTTAATCCATATCTCAGTTAAAACGAATTGAGAAGAGAAAATGCATAATAAACTTATATAATGCTTTTAGATCTTTAGGATTAAAATAATAATATAACTATTTAATTTAATATTTTTAATATAAAATTCATGTAAATTAATTTGGGCTTTAAAAAAATATAGAAAAATGTCTTTAAAATAAATCATTTTATTTAGAAAATATCTATGAAATAGATTTTCAAAACGAACGCATGACAGTTCCTAAATTCCCACTTGTACATATATGAACTAATTTCTTAAAAAATTTCATCCATACCCAAAAATTATGAAAAAATTTGTGCAATTAAAATACCACAATCTCAATGCTATGACAAAGATGATTTGCAATTTGAAATTATATTGAAATATTCATAACATTCATATCATCATTTTTAGCGAGTACTATTTTTGTGAGCATATTAATAAAAAATTTTACTCTAATTTTGACAAGTAAGACATTCGTTTCATGTAAACTGTATATGTAGTAGTGCTCGAGTTGAATGTGATTTATTCTTTAGAGAAAAGTTTTTTTTTTTATAGTGAATAACACTTCGTCTATTACAAAATAAAGAAACATTATCTTACGATCGATTTAGTTCTTCCAAAAAAAATCTTAGCCAAATCATCTTGTTGATAGCTTTGGAGTTGGCTATATATTCAACTTTTATTATTGATAATGGTAGTTTTTTTTTATAGTTGTGACACCTAAGTATTGCTAGTTTCACATGAGGAGTACATATACCTAATAGTACTTCTTCATATATGTATGTCTCTTCTATATATTCTTCAATATATCCACATGATTTCAAGTCTTTTATATCTTTCAAATGGTATAGGGTCTATTTACAGTCTCCCAATGTACCTTCTCAAAATTTGACATATAATGACTAATAACTCTCATTATATGCACAATGTCGTAGTAATGCACGATGCATTATATACATCAAATAGTCAAGTATTGATGCCTAAGAAACTTTAGTCAAATAATATTTATCATTGTTGTGGGCTAGTACATTTGCGGTAGCAGAGGGAGAGAGATTTTCGTTGTAACGTTGCACGTATTACTAACACACAAACAGATAGTTGGAGAGAGAGCGGAGAAACATCGAAAAATTTTTACATGAAAAACTCAAAAAAGATAAAAACCATAGGTATTAGCCCAAATAAGAATATTTTACTAAATTTGAGTGAATTACAAAGATTGACCTACCCCTTAACTTAGAGGCGGTGCAATTACAATAGTTTGGAGAGTCAGTCATACTCCGTAAAATACTTGGGAGTGTGTAAGGACCGCAGTTGAGTTGGGAGTCTAGTGACGGTGATCAGCGGCCGGACGAAAGTCTAGATCCAGGGGGTTAGCTACTAGCTGTGGTCTGATGATGGGTGAGCTAAAGTGCAACAGAGATTGGCGGATAGGCGGTGGTTCGATCAGCCGATAGAAATTCGTTTGTTGTGGTGCTTGGGTGGAGCTCTAGATCCTTAAAGCCTCAGAGCTCTCTTTAATCTCCAGCCAAAAGATCCCCCTCACCACCTCATGTAGAGAGTTCAGATCTATTTATACATTTTGAGAGTGACATGCTCGATAAAAGTGGATAATATCCTGGATAAATTTGGAGTGCTTCATCGGATGGCTCATACTAGTTCTCTCAGTCATGCAATATTTTTCAAGAATTTAACTGCCTCGATGACTTCTGAATTAAGCAATCTTGAGCTCGTTGGATTTGTCTCATCAAGCCGCTTGATTCTACCATAAGCATGTCATAAATGAAGATCATTTGGTCATCCAATTAATGCTTTGAACCTTCGAAATACTCTTCGATACCTTGGTTTGGACCCATTTGTGCTCGGATCAGACTGATTTTGGTGTTGTTGGGTTCTTCTCCTTGAGCTGTTCAGATTGCCTATAAGTTTATTAAATTCAGAGTTTGGATCTTCCCAAATTTAATTTCGGAAGTTTCCACCATGGATATTCCTCAAGATTCATGCCCAATCAAGGCAATTTTCGGTGACGCATCAATTTTCATCTGTTTTTCATCATTATCCTTTTGAGAGTATAAAGTTATTTACAAGTGGCGTGCTCACCATTTTTTTTTACTTTCAACATATTGATCCTATTTAACAAATTATTAAGATTGTAATAGGTTCCTCACACATATAACTGCTCCATCTATGCTTATTCTAAGAATCTTCTTGCTTCCCCTTAAGTCATACAGATCAAATTTCTTTGATCAATTATCTTTTTAAGGCGATTAATTTTCTTGATTTAAAAATCGCATGAGGTTTTTTTTTTCAATGCTTTTTTACATATCAACAATGAACAATATTACTTCTGTGGAAGTCTATTTTCTGCTTAAATTCATTAAATTTTTTATATCATTGGTGTGGAGCTTGCTTAAATCGTATAGACTTTTGTTAAGTTTTCAACTAAATTTTGGTCCTTATCATTAGTGTGGAGCTTGCTTAAATCATATAGAGTTTTGTTAAGCTTGCAACCTAAAGTTGAACCATATACATAGTTTAGATTTTCATAAAAAATGTAGTCGCAATATCAATTTCCTCTAGGCTCCAAAAACGATTACAAAAGAGAGAATTTTAAGACTTAAAGAGTACTAAAGCTGTGTTTGTTAACACCATATAATCATTGTTGTCAACATGGTCGATAATAAATCATAGCCACGAGGGCTTACCAACGTCATCTTCATTAACATTGATGCCCACTACTTCAAGAAGACTAATGCTTGACGTCTACAATAATACTGATACTTACTACAGTCAATAATGTTGACATCAGTTGTCATCACCAAGGTCGATGTCATCATCACCGAGATTGATACCACAGTCAGTAATGTTGACATCTGTTGTCATCACCAAGATCGATGTCATCATTACCAAAATTGATATCTATCATCACTTGTTAATGCCACTAAAGTTAAATTTTATCTTTGAATAAAGTTTAAGCAAGGTTTGATCATGATTCAGATAAAATCTGAATGTAATTTGAATATGATTCAAACATGGATCAAACATAGATTGATTATATTCAAATATGGTTCAAAATGGCATATATAAGAGAGTATGTTCTACCATCCTTAACAAAGTAAACTACAAAGTTGATATGATAAATTGAATGTAATCAAAATATTAGCTTGTCTCAGCGAAGTTCTTTGGATGCTATCTCGAATCCTTTCATCACACTTTCGCTGCTCTTCTCTCGGTAAATGTCTCAATTTTAAGACTGCCCAGCTCTCTGTTCTCTCCCACCCGATAATCTCCCTCCTAGAAAGATGCCAAACCCTGGCTCAACTGAAGCAAATCCAAACCCAAATGGTTCTTTCTGGCTTGATTTCAGAGTCTCTTGCCGCCAGCCGCCTTGTCGCCTTCTGCGCCATTTCCGACTCGGCCGACCTAGATTACGGCAGTTTGCTACTGCTCAATCTTAAGAACCCAAATATCTTCTCATGGAATGTAGCAATTCGTGGCTTTTCGGATAGCGCTCGGCCAAAAGAATCAATTTTTCTTTACAAAAGGTTGCTTAGATCGACTGCCCAGCCAGATAACTTCACATACCCTTTTCTGTTCAAGGCATGCACTAAAATTCCGGACTTTGGAACTGGTGTTCTAGTTTTCGGGCATGCCCTGCAGCTGGGCCTATGCGCGGATTTGTTTGTGTTCAATTCCTTGATACGGTTATTTGTTGCTTGTGGTCCTTTAGCTGATGCACGCAAGTTGTTCGATGAAAGTTGCGTTAGAGATTTGGTTTCTTGGAATACCTTAATAAATGGTCTTGTTCAGAGAGGGAATCCAGAAGAAGCATTGGATCTGGTTAAAAGGATGGAAGAAGAGGGGATTTTTCCTGATAATGTCACTATGATTGGTGCCATTTCAAGCTGTGCTCAGTTGCAAGCTCTGGAATTGGGAAGCAAATTTCATCATTTCATGGTTGAAAATGGGTTGGAGTTCACGGTGCCTTTGACCAATGCTCTCATCGATATGTACATGAAGTGTGGGAGTTTAGAGCGTGCATGTTCTTTGTTTGATGCATTGAAGAATAAAAGTATGGTCTCATGGACCACGATGATCATGGGTCTTGCCAAATTTGGGTTTTTAGATGTCTCGCGGAGACTCTTTGATGAAATGCAGGAGAAAGATGTCATTCCATGGAATGCTTTGCTTGCTGGTTATGTCCAAAGCAGACAAGCTAAAGATGCAGTAGCATTATTTCTTGAGATGCAAGCTTCGTCTGTAGAACCCGATGAGATTACTTTGGTCAGCCTTCTATCTGCATGTTCCCAGCTTGGGGCCTTAGAAATGGGGATGTGGGCTCATCAATATGTTAATAAACGCAAATTCAGCTTAAGCGTTGCCTTGGGGACTGCTTTGGTGGATATGTATGCAAAGTGTGGCAACATTGAGAAGGCTTCCTTTATCTTCGGAGAGATGCTTGAGAAAAATGCGCTTACCTGGACTGCAATGATTTGTGGTTTGGCAAATCATGGGCATGCCTTAGAGGCCATTAGGCATTTCCAAAGAATGATGGAGATTGGGTTACAGCCTGATGAGATTACCTTTATAGGAGTTCTTTCAGCCTGCTGCCATGGTGGTTTGTTTCATGAGGGTCGAATGTTCTTTTCTCAGATGACTTCAGTTTATAAGCTGAAACCCAACCTTAAGCACTATTCATGTATGGTGGATCTTTTGGGTAGAGCTGGACTCCTCCATGAAGCAGAAGAAATGGTGAAAACTATGCCTATTGAACCTGATGCCATTGTATGGGGTGCTCTATTCTTTGCATGTAGACTTCATAGGAATACTGCTATGGGGTTGAGGGCTGCCACACGATTGCTAGAATTGGATCCAAGTGATAGTGGAATCTATGTTTTGCTTTCGAACTTATACGTTGAAGAAAATATGAGGGATGAGGCTGATCAAGTTTGGGCTTTGATGAAGGAGAGAGGGGTGGAGAAGACCCCTGGCTGTAGTTCTATTGAGGTTAATGGGGTTGTTTATGAGTTCATAGTGAGCGACAGGTCTCATACTAGGTATGAAGATATTTATACATGTCTAAAGCTACTCTATGAGCAAATGAGGCACTTTGAAAAATTGTTGTCAATATCTTTGGATGATATGCCATAAAAATAATTGCGCTTAACAAGAAAAAGCTAACATGTAGAAATTTGTTTCCTTGAGGAAAGTGAACAGAGATGATGCTTTGTAGAACTAGAAGAAAAATATAAAAAGCTTTGGGCCAAATTGTGGGTGTTGGGCTTGCTTGGAACAGAAAAAATATTGAAGCGCGGTTGCATGAGTATTCTGTAAACCATGGAAAGAGCTTTCTGAAAGAGTTTAGAGGGGATCATGAAAGACTTTAGGCAAAACCAGGAAAATCAATATACATAAATTTTCCTTCTGTGAAATGCTTAAGGTGCTGCTATAAAGGAGAACCGAAAAAAAGATATATTGAAGCTTTGGTTTAATGGTGGTAGATGAGCTTGACTGAAAGCAATAAAGGGTGATTTAATCAGCAGTCTTCGAACACTGAATTACAAAGGTGAAGAAGCTTTGAATTTTGAAGGAGATGGTGTTTTCCATGAGAAAAATTACTTGCAAAGTTGCTAATCTATTGTTGTTTCCTCTTGCAGATTTCTAAATCCAACAGGAAGACTTTTGATTTGTAGATTCACCGGGAGTAAAGATGTCTTATACCCTTCTCGTGGGTTTGATACATGTTTGTTGAAAGATACTTAAAAAAGCAACTTCAAACTCATCATTTGGTAAAGGCACCTATCTTAATATTTATTTGTAGATCCTGGAATTGAGTTTTAGCTTGAACAAGTTTGTTTATTTTGTCTGTTTTTTTGGAAGACTATGCTAAAAAACTGTTATCCTTCCCTTCAAATATCTAATCCAATTGCTCCAGCCTTTATGAGGGCCTAATAAGAGTTTTCGCTATATTGTAAGGCAGCATATAAGGCTAAAATTAAGGTAGGAACATTCTTTTGGTAGACTGAGAATTATTACTGAGAGTTGGTGAATGCTTTGAAGAGGATCTTCAGTGCACATGTTTCTATAACCTTAGGAGAAGTAATATTAGGTTTGAAAAATCTTGTTTTGGAATATTTTATCGCGTAGGTGAGTTTGACAACAAGGAGGACGTCTTTGCTATTTCCAAGATAATAATTATATTGAGAGCATTGTATCCGTGCAAACTTGTAAGTCTTTTGATATTCAAGTTATTGAAGTGTTTGTGAGTGTTTTCATCCAAGAAATTTCGCATTTTTTCACCATTTTTGGGCTGTTTTTGCTGGATTCCGAAAATTATAAACTAAGCTCCATCATATGAATGGAAGCCTAGTACGTTGAAGTTCTTTCAAGGATCTTTCTCCAATTAGTTCTGGACTTAGTTGTTTTATAGTAGTAGTAGACCCTTTGTTAGAATTCAGCGAGTGTGGAACTTGCTCATTAGGAAGATCTTAGCGCCTTACTAATACTTCCAATCAATACCTCTTCTAAGGCATTTAGAACATAACTTATACAACTTCATGGGATGCTATAATTTTTTTTAACTAGGGCTTGTATTCTTGTACATGCCTTTGTAGGTATTTCACAGGTATCCTATAGGAGAACTGTTATGTGTGGAATCTGATTGTGTTGATCAATATGGTTGTTCTATTGTCTCGGACCTCAAAGCTTGTCGTGTTCATTGGGGGGTGCGAGGGGTTTGCACCCTGCTTGGGTTCGGGTGCTTACACCCTTTTTTTTTTTTTTTTCTTTTTTCATACAACACAGCGGCGTTGCGCACTGGAGCGTCCCAACGATCTATTCCTTAGCGTCCCCAGCGCTAAACGACAGAGGGTAGAGCACTGCAGCAATCTAGATATGGCGCCGCATCGGTGCAAGATAGAGGCTTGAGTGCCGCAGCGCCCAAACTGGCGCCGCAGCTCTGCGAGACGGACTGAACGCATCTTTCTCGTTTTTCTGAAGGTTGCATCCCTTGGAGCTATTCACTTGTAGGGCTGCAAGCGAACCAAGCGTTCGACGAGCTACTCGATGCTCGGTTCGATTAAAGCTCGTTTTTAATCGTTTTACTAACTAAACAAACAAACTTGAACAACATTTTACATACTCGATCCTTAAATAAACAAGCTTGAACACTAATGTGTTCAGTTCATTTATGTTCACGAACAACATCATTTGAAGTTCGTGAACAAGCTCAACATTAAGTTCGATAAAAAGCTCGATAAAAGCTCGAATGGAGAGAAATGCAATAGGTAAGCTTCATTTAAGAATATATTCATATAGATTAATCATATTTTTATTTTAAATAGATAACTGCTTTTATTATAAATTTAATTTTCTGAACAAAAGACATTTCACATTTGTCTATGTTTGTTATATTGTTTGTTTAAGATGTTCATGAACAAATTTAATGTTTGTTTGTTCAATAGATTGTTTATTAAATATGTTCATGAACATAGCTCGTTAAGGCTTGTTTGCTTAAAACTCGATAAGCATTAAATGAACCAAACATGAACCGAACATGAACACCCTTAAATTAAATGAACCAAACATGAACACAAACAATAAAGCTCGAATCAAACATGAACCGAACTTGAACAAGCTAATGATAAACAAACTAAACATGAACACTCGCATACTCGGCTCGGCTCGGTTCGTTTGCAGCCCTATTCACTTGGATTTATCTTTATATTTTTTATTAGGGCAAGTGTGTGAACAATGCATATGAGAAGAGAAGCAAGGAGAGGCTGAGAGAGAAGAAATATCTGTACTTATTTCTCCCAATTTTCATAGTGGATTTCTTAATGTAGTGTAGCTCTGTGGTTCTTTTCCCCTATTTTGGATTGTTTGCACGTTAAATCCTGGTGTCCTTTACTTTCTGCTGGTTTTACTTTCTTGTTTGTTTCATCATTGTGGTATTACTCATCCTCATCTTCCCCAAGAAGAACTCGTCCAAACAGTCACATCAGTTTTTTAAGGTGCTTGCATGCAAGAAAATTGACCAAATTTAGGAGTAGCCCCTAGCGCGCATACTTGGGAACTCATGCATTTTATTCCAAGTAGTAGGACACTCATCTTGACAGAGATCAGCCTCTCAAGATTATTGTCCATCGAAAGAATTATCACACTCTTGCTGACAGTAGCAATAGGAATCACACATCTTAGGGTTCAATATCACTAACCCCTGGGCTCGAACAATCCTTAGCTCGCATTCATCATCACTCCAAAGGGCTTGCCCTTTGTGTTCGGAGGTCAAAATAGTCCCTAGGGACTCACCTCTCCATGTAGAGGAATTGTTCATGCAGACTCATCCTAAATGATCCTTTCTGAAGGTCACCCAACGCATTTGCCAATGAAAACTCGCCTGGCATAACTCACCTAGATGGTTCAACTTGGACCAAAGACTATATTGAAGATATAGAGTCACGTAAGCATCTACCAGTACATGTCTTATGTCATATTCAATCTTGAATGTGTTATTATTAAATATTGCAATTATATTATTTACTTTTTCATTATGTGTAGCTTTCTTTGTAGCCCTACAAGCCCTATAAATAAAAGGCGAGGAAGTACATTTGGGATCTTTGGACATTTGGGATCTTTGGATCACTTCCCAAATCTTTTGGAATATTCAAGATTTTTAGATATTTTTCGAGTTTATTTGCCGGCCTCTCTAGTTGGGTATCAAAAAATGACCTGACCCTAGACCCAACTCAAAAAATTCAGGTTCAAGTATGGTATTCTAACCCGTTTATTAAATGGGTTGGCTTTGGTTTGACTCACAAACCCACCTTTTACAAAAAATTATATGTTTAATATTTTTTTTCTTAAATTATTTTGCTTGTTAGTATGATCTTGTTTTTTATTAATTAATCTAAGCTATATGTTGATAAGTTATTAAAAAAACATTTTTAATCAAAACAGGTTATCATTGTGGTTCAAGTTATTTTGCTTGCTAGCTGGTCGGGTTTGAGTCTATCTTTTTAACCCGTTTAGTAAAAAAGTTGGGTTTGGATTGATTGAAATCGGGTCGGGTCAACTTTTGGTCAAATCCAAACTTGATCCATTAATCCATTTTGATACCCCTACTCTCTAATTCCCATCTAAAAGATTGTTTTCTATTAAAGTTGGGCGTCATTCATGAACAAATTCATATTTAATATCCTAAATGGTATGGTGAGCCTGAATTGAAGTTAGTGACAATAAGACAGGCACATCTTGAAGACCAACAGAACCCAAAGTCATTAATAAATATGGATGCCCCAAACTACGCTACCTGCCGTGATCTCATCGAGATGGAGGAGAGTCTCACTAAAATTATTCAAGACGTACTTGGAGAGTTGCTGAGAAATGCTCCCAAAAAGCTCCTCTGACTCAGCTGTTCGCACTTGGAGGTCTGCTGTGAAATGTTGTTTGCTTCTTTACAGAGCCTCCTCTATAGAACTGTTTCCTTCTGTATGATCCTCTGCTGTGGCACTGAGTGGAACTTTTCTATGTCTCCAAGCGTGTGATTGTGCATTGTAATTGAATTATGAAGGTTGCTAAATCGGCTTTTGTTATTTTGCACTGTAGCTAGAGCCAAGAGTGTTGAAATCAGGTCTTGTTTTAGTTGGAATCTGTGATTGCTGAAATTGGATCATGGTAGTTTTAAGCCAAATTATGAAATTCTGAAAGTGCCAATTTGGTGCTTTTTGTGGCCATAAATATGACAATTGATTAAAAATTTCATCTAATTTCTTAATGAATTCATGTTTCATATCAAACTTAAATATGCTGATTTACTGTGTATTCATCAAGTAGTGTCAGTCAAATTTAAAAAATCTTCTATTTATGCTGATGTGAGGCCTATGCTAAATACTTCGACTATCTTATCTCTTGTTTTTTTTTTCCATAACTTTTTATTATTGGTTTGCGTTTTATGCAGATTTTTCAAATTTATTACAGTATATGTGTCATATTACAGCGTGAATTCAGACTGTGTTATGCCTTTTTATCTCAATTTTTTGCAAATATTTTATTTAGCATTCTTTAAATTATCATTTGGAATGAATTTTACATAATTTTTTATTTTCATCAATAAGATAACCTTTTTACCTAAGTTAAAATTGATGGACTACAAATGTAATTTTGAGTGCGTGTTTTGTTCAACTCATTTAGATCTGTATAAAGGTTGGAGTAGCTCTAGTGGAAGATAAGATTAGAGAGAGTCGCCTTAGATGGTTTGGTCACATAAAACGGACGCCTTCTGATGACCCGGCTAGGAAAATTGAGGTATTAGATTTGACTTATGTTAAGAAAGGTAGAGGTGGTTAGAAAATATTAGACATGATCTTTCTTTATTAGATTTAAATGAGAATTTGACTTTTAACATGACACAAAAGAGAAAAAGAATTCGTGTAGCTGATCCCACGTAGTGGAACAAAGGCTTGATGTTGTTGTTGTTGTTGTATTTAGATTTGTATAAGGAAATAATCCACCCTAAACGTCAAATGTCAAGTCAAACAAGTATGAAAATTCTTTTGATGCATTTCGTTTAGATGTAATGCTTTTTGAAAAAAAAAAAATCTGAATTAAGTGACTAAAATATTTAGCTATATGCTTTGTTAATTTTATATTCACCGTCATTAGATTGTACTGTGCTTTAACTTAATTTAATATCTGCAAGTTGTTTCTTCCTATATATTGAAGCTTCTCATCTGCATAGCAACAAAATTATAATTTTTATTAATTTCTTGTAAAAGTTATATGCTTTTCCACTCTTGTTTTATTCTTCTCAATCATTTAAATGTCTATGGTCCTATCCCCTGCATTTTCTTCCTTTACTGATCTGGACATTAGCAATTTTTGTATTTCGTGTGGAAATATTTAGAACAAAGTACTGATAAATATGTAAGTATGAGTTTAATTTCATTATTTGA